TGAACAATTTATGTTTTCATTTTCTTGAAATTATTTATATATCAATAAATACGTTTAATACAAATATATTTAAAAATAGACAACAATATTTGGTATTACGTTTTCCACAATAAATCTAAAATTTTGAAATTAGTCATGTACATTAATATCACAAATTAAATATTTGGAGTATTTTAATTACATATAAAATAATCTTTATGTTTAAAATTGTGTTTCTCCTACCACATTAGAAAAATAAATTACTGGTAGAAAACAAACTAATTAAAAGTTAAGTAATGATAAATACTATTTTTTTCACCTATAACAAAAAAAATTGCTTACAAAATTGAACATGGATATAAATGTGCATTATGTGAATTTGTTATGCGTACAAAATTGTTTGTGAGGTAACAATTTTGTCTTAAGCTCAGTTAGATATGAAAAAAATACCATTTTATTTTTAAAAAATGATAAATCAATGCATACAAAAATTTTACGGTAACTAAAAAGCATAGTTTTTAAACCCGGCTCGGTAATCGATCCGGGCAGATTTTTGGGTCACCGGGTCACCGGTTCAACCACCGGGTCACCGGGTCAATTGCTGAACCGGATAATTAATTTTAAAATTTATAAAATTATATATAGAGTATTTTGTGACATATAAATATACATAAAAATAACAAATTTAAATATTTTGTATGTAAAATTTGTAGATTAAAGTGGTAATAATTGTATATATTTATCATATAAATATATATACTTAATTTTATTTTTTTAAAAAGAAAAAGAAAATTAAAAAACAAAAAAAAATACATATAGACTGGGTCAACCGGGTTGACCCAGCCGGGTCAATGCCCCGAGTCGACCGGGTTTGACCGGGTCCGTTGTTGCCCGGTCTAATTAACCCAAGCCGGACCGGTTCCTGCTCCAGGTCGACCGGGTCCCGGGTCGACCCGCCGGGCCGGTCCGGGTCACAAAACACTGCTAAAACGTAATAATATTTTGAAATATTTTGTACTCAAATTACTTACAAAAATAATAATAATAAATTTAAAATCTTATGTACTTAAATTTTTATGTACCGTCGTAATCATGTCAATATTTATTTTTTAAATACTATGTAAATTTTCTCCCAAAAAATTTATAATGTACTATAGATACTTTTATATAATATTTTATCACATCATATTCTATCTATATATACATATGCATATTAAATTTAAATATTTTTAAGAATGTTTCCTTCACAAAAA